TACATGTGTAAGTGTGTAACCTCAATCAGAATATATGAAAGCATGTAGAGTGCTGATTGTTGCTACCATTGGTTTTATTTGTCTTGCTAACAAGTTTTTACATCTGTGGAACTAATCTAGAATACTGGATCGAGACATTTGCTTTTCATGGATCCGATGTTAGTTGAAAAAGGACTTGACGTTTTTTTATTTATTTATCCATGGGCCATAGGCTCATACAACGGTGAGTGAGGCAAAGGGGCGGGTCTATGAGGACCTTTACCGACGTTTGAGTACGAAGGAATGAGAGAAGGACATTTATAGGATGGCTAGGGCTCGCGATAGGAAGACAAAGGACTTCAACCAAGTCAAGTGCATAAAGGATGAGAGGGAGAAGCTCTTTGTGAAGAAGGATGAGATAAGACATAGATGGCAAGAGTATTTTGATAAATTGTTCAATGGTGAGAACGAGAACACCACCGTTCAACTGGACGACTCGTTTGATGACACTAACAGGCGCTTTGTGCGGTGGATTCAAGAAACGGAGGTCAGAGAAGCCTTGAAAAGGATGAAAGGGGGCAAAGCGATGGGCCCTAATGGTATCCCAATCAAGGTGTGGAGATGTCTCAGGGATATAGCTATAGTATGGCTAACCAAGATGTTCAACAATATCTTTCGATCGAACAAGATGCCTGAGGAGTGGAGAAGAAGCATATTGGTACCAATTTACAAGAACAAAGGAGATATCCAAAGCTGTACTAATTATCGGGGAATTAAGTTGATGAGCCACACTATGAAGTTATGGGAGAGAGTCATCGAGCAGCGCCTACGAGGAACGACGCAGATATCAACAAACCAATTTGGTTTCATGCCCGGAAGATCAATCACAGAAGCAATCTTCTTAATAAGACAGGTTATGGAGCGGTTTAGAGAGCAGAAGAAGGACTTCCACTTGGTTTTCATTGACTTGGAGAAGGCTTATGACAATATATCAAGAAATGTTATGTGGTGGTCTTTGGACAAACATAAAGTCCCATCAAAGTACGTGACCCTCATCAAGGATATGTACAACAATGTTGTGACTAGTGTTCGAACAAACGATGGTAACGCAGATTACTTTCCGATTAAAATTGGACTTCATTAAGGGTCATCCTTAAGCCCGTATCTCTTTGCCTTGGTAATGGATGAGGTTATCAGGAACATACAAGGGGATATCCCTTGGTGTATGTTATTCGTTGATGATTTAGTGTTAGTGGACGAAAGCCAGGCGGAAGTAAATAGAAAACTAGAGTTATGGCGGCAGACCCTTGAGTCTAAAGGTTTTACATTGAGCAGAACTAAAACCGAATATATGAGATGCGACTTTAGCGGAGTTGTACAGAGGAGGGAGATGTGAGTTTGGAAGGTCAAGTAGTGACTAAGAAGGATACCTTTCGGTATCTGGTATCGATGCTACAGAGGGATAGAGATATTGATGTGGATGTTAGCCATAGAATCAAAGCAGGGTGGATCAAGTGACGACAAGCTTCTGGCATTCTCTGTGACAAGAGGGTACCACAAAAGCTAAAAGACAAGTTCTATAGAACGGCGATTAGACCGGCTATGTTGTATGGAGCAAAATGTTGGCCTACAAAGATTCGACATGTTCAACAAATGAGTGTTGCAGAAATGCGTATGTTGCGATGGATTTGCGGTCATATAAGAATGGACTGAGTTCGGAACGATGATATACGTGATCGTCTAGAGGTAGCACCAATTGAAGAAAAGCTTGTCCAACATCGGTTGAGATGGTTTGGCCATGTCCAAAGGAGGCCTCCAGAGGCACCAGTGCATTGTGGAGTCCTAAGCCAAGCTAATAATATGAGGAGAGGTAGAGGAAGACCGAAATTGACATGGAGGGAGGCAATAAAAAGATATTTGAAAGCTTGGGATATACCTAGAGATTTATGTTTGAATATGAATACTTGGAAAGCAGCTATTGAAGTGCCTGAACCGTGACTTGGGGCTCTCGGTGGGTTTCAACTCTAGCCTACCCCAACTTGCTTGGGACTGATTAAGTTGTTGTTGATAGGCTCATACAGCTGCCCATTTAGCATCATAGTGAAGATCAAGTTCAGATTAAGACATGCTGGATTTCACTTCCTCTGATTTGATGCTGGTTAAAAAGGGATTGGAAGGGATATAATTAACTACCAATTTGACCACCTGCTCAAAATTGGCATTGATGATCCACATAGTTTCGATGAAATAGTTCATTCTTTCTGTTGTTCTTTGATATCATGCATTTTGATTAATCTGAGATAGTACTTATGCTTGTACAATTATGCTGGCTAACTTATTTTCTTGATTGATAGCCATCCAGCTCCGGGAAACCATTTGGCATCTGACACCAAGAGTGACGAATTGCCACCTCCACCACCAAGTCTACTACCAAAACACCTTGTAAGAATTTCAGATTGAATACTCGTTTGGTAACATATGGGTAGTGAGGCCTCTTGAGTATTTGACCATGGTACTGAGAGTAGAGCTACAAGAAAAGGGAAGCATAAAATGCGCTTGACTTAGAATAGTTCCCTAAGCATTGCCTGGTCCAAATTTTGCAGCAGAACTATATGTTCGTAGATCCCTTATTCAGACCAAAGGCATTGCCCTTGTTTTTTTTATAGAATGTATAACTCTGCCTCCATAATATAAGTTCCTATCCGCTTGTGCTTGTTTGTGCTTTGGCAGAACTGGCTGGGTTTTCCAGTTTGTACCACAACATCAGATCGTAACATCTGACACGACCTCTAGCCAAACTAACTCTAATCCACCAGCAAGACTAGTCCAGATAAACAACTCTTTGTTCCAGAACTTAAAACAGTGTACAATATAGTTCAAGCTTAACAGAAGCAAAAGCAAACAACATCCTTATTGCACCAGAACAGTTTTTGACTAAGACATATCCTCCTATTACAAAATCATCCAATCCCAGCAAGGCAAGGACTCAATTTGTCAACGTGGATAACTTGCCTTCACCTGTTCTGCAATTCTTCATGTCATACATGAACACTGGAATCCGAATACCACTGCTTACTGGGAAGACAGATTGCAATGAGTTAGACAAAACACCTAGCACATGCACCCAATAAAAAAATACGGCAATATCTTTGTATTGTGATCCTTATTATAAAAAGCTAAATGAGCAATTGCTTTAGATTGGAAGGAAAATAATCCCACTTTAGAGTATTTCTAAGCAAGCCCCAATAAAATTTGGCTAATTGGCAGAGAAACATTATATGGTAAGCAGTTTCCATCATATTTTATAGTATTTGCAATGGTCAGTTCTGGGCCAGTTTTCTTCAGCAATTGGTCAGCAGATTGGATCCAGTCCTTATGTAATTGCCACAGGAAAATCTAAATTTTCAGAGGTGGTTTAGAATACTCTTATCATTTTCTCACCTCCAACCGCTGGGAAAGTTACATGTTTATCCAAGGAAGGTGTGTAGCAAAAATTCCTTATTCCTCCAAAGCCCATCCTACAGTATCTTCATCCAACTGAGCCAAAGCCCGCAAATTTACAAGTTCCTTCCATTCTTGAAGTTAATGGGGATAAGGATCTCTTCTAAAAGATTAACTCTAACCCCCTCTAAAGTTTACCATTAGCTATATTTGCTGATTCAATTCAAAGGTTGACGAGCTTATAGAATGGTACCCTGAAAAGGTACAAGTACCCTAAGGGTGTACCCAGTGTAGAGAGCTCCTGCTCTGTGCGGGATCTGGGGAAGGGTGTTAGTGGCAAGCCTTACCCTCGCCTGTGCAATGCGAGGAGACCGCGACTCGAACCCGGGACCTTCCGGTCACAGACGGTAAGACTCTGCTGCTTGCACCAGGCCCACCCTTCAAAAGGTACAAGTACCCTGATAAAAGAAAATTCAACACTGCCTACAATATACATCCCCCTGTTGGATCAGTAAGTCTTGATCGAGTGGTGACCCTTCCAAAGTTGAGAACTATTTCGAGTTGAGTTCCTCCACCTTTTGTTTTCCTTGTTGAAATAGGAAACAGTCCATTTCTCTATTAACTGTCTTACTTGCTTATTGCCTTAACACATTCTGCTACAATTTTGTAGAGGCCTCGAGAATCAGATGATGTTGCAGTGGAATCAGATGTGAATCCAGCTAATACTTAAGTTTCCATCATCAGAGGACTAAATTATTACATTTTATTTTGGAAGGACCTACGATTATAGTGCCCGTGATAACTTGACTCTTGAGTATCACTATATTTTGTAGTATTAGTTGGTTCCTTAAGGTTTCTTTCAAAATTTAGTTGCAAAGAGACCGTACTTGTAGGTGTGCTGAAAGACATGTCTCTGACATCTGCGCTGTTTGCTCTATCTGAAAGCACGAGATGTTACTCTTCTGTAACTTGTTGATTGCAAATGCATAATTCTGTGACACACTGACAGGTACCATTGGTCCATTGCTAGCGACTTCCAGGTATTTTCTGTCATCCTGTTTGAATAAGAAACGCGCATTGTCCAGGACCTGCATCAGGCATGAATTTACATTGCAGCAAAAATTGACAAGGACAGCACGTTCTGAGGCTGAGCTGGTTTTGACTCATAAGCTGAAGTTGGAAATGGAGTGGAAGTACAGCCAGACGTGTTGTTGACTTGAGTTGTTAGGATTTCTTGGAAGTTCCCTACGGCTGATTTGTGGTCGTACGTAAACGTAAGCCATGACAGAGTATCTCAGCACAGGAGTGTGCTCGCTCTGTTGGAGACTGAGAACTTCGACTCCAAATCCAATGGAAATTGCACTCCGCATTTCCTGCGCACTTCCTGCTGCGATCGCACGCGTGTGTGTTGCCTGGGCGGCGAGACGGTAAACATAAATAGCAGCATAGTGCTCGCTCCTTCAGAATCATCTGACTGAGAGTGTGAGTGTGTGGCCCGGGCAGAGGGGCAGAGTTCAGAAGTTCTAGCTCGGCTAGAGTGCGCGAACAAATGGAGCTCTCTGTCTGCAAGGCGCTGGTGCTCACGGCCCTCGTCGTCTCCTCGTCTCGCTTTCTGCACTGGCCGATCGGATGCTCCGCGGGAAGCTCGGCAGGGTCCCCGGGACAACTGGCGCTTCCTCCCCCGGACGCGGGAGATGGAGGAGAAGGCAAGTAGCCTGGCCAGGAGCTCCCGTTTCTGGGCCGGGGCGTGCACACGTGCTTCCCAGCAGGTGCGGTGGGGAGATTCCACCAAGCGATGCTGGTGGTATTGCTAGCTCGCGGCGGAGGCAGGATGGCTGTCGGGCGCTGGCGTTCGAGTCGCGGGCGCGTGTGACGGTGTTAGCAACTGTGCGCCGCGGGTCGCTGGGCGTGGCTGAGACGGAGGCTTGTTTCTCAAACTCCGTCCCCTGCCCGAGCTGGCGGACCGTCGAAGCTTGCATAGATGCCGGCAGAGTGGCGTACCGCTGCCTGCTGCCAAAGTCGTACACATATATGCAAATCTTTGTATTATGTGTAAGTCCAGTCTCAGGTCTTGTTTAGATCACCTCCAAATTTTAAGTTTTTTCACTCTCTCTCTATCACATCAATTTTTAGACGTATGCATGGAGCATTAAATGTAGGTAAAAAATAATTAATTATACAGTTTGTTTGTAAATCACGAGATAGATCTTTTGAGCCTAATTAGTCCATGATCAGACAAAGTTTGTTAAATACAAACAAAACGTACTACAGTTTACAGGTTACAAAAATTTGCAATCTAAACAAGGCCTCAATGGGATGTTGTAGGGGTTTTAAGGATATTAAAGGGAGTGACATGTCAGAAAAACTATTGTTTTACATGTATCGACTAGGGGTGTTGGTTCTCGTTCCCAAAGTTGTTCCTATCACATCAAACGTTTAAACATTAATTTAGAATATTAAACATAGATTAATTATAAAACTAATTGCACATGTTGAGACTAATTTACGAGACGAATCTATTAAGCCTAATTAATTCATGATTTGACAAGGCGATGCTACAGTAAATATGTGCAAATTATAGATTAATTAGGTTTAATAGATTCGTCTCGCGAATTAGTCATGACTTCCGTAATTAGTTTTATGATTAGTATCAAATACCCGATGTAACACCAATATGATACCCGATGTGACACATCCTAAAGTTTAGTCCTGGATACGAAGACTTTTTCTCCTAAAGTTTAGTTTCTGTCACATTTGATGTTTGACACTAATTTAAAGTATTAAACATAGACTAATTACAAAACTAATTGCACAGATTAATACTAATTTGTGAGGCGAATCTATTAAGTCTAATCAGTTCATGATTTAATAATGTGGTGATACAGTGTGGGCGCGGGCGAGCTCCACCTCGACCGCCACGGGCGCGCGCGGGCGAGTTCCGCCCCGGCCAGCCGCCGCGGCGCGGGCACAGGGGAGCTTCGCCGGGGGCGCGCGCGGAGAAGAGAGATGAGATCGAGTTTGAGAGAGAGAGGATAGGGATGAGAGGGGTATTATGGACGTTTTGACTGATCTGACCCACTTGTCAGGACTCTCAAACGGTGAAAAACGAATGGAATGCGGATGGAATGGCTTAGAGAGCAAAGAAGTTCAGAACGGTGGCATATGTGTACGGTCAACTTTTTTAATGGCCTGTGTGTAATTACAAACTTTTTTAATGGCACGCATGTAAAAGCCTCAATTTCAAAACCCAACGCAGCCGCAAGCGGGGAGAAAGTTGCTTTCAGTTTTATACTAAGGGTCCGTTTGTTTCCGCTCATAAGCGCGTTGGCGACCGAGATGTGCGGAAAACGTGAGATAATCCTGCCGAACGGTCTACGGCACTCGCGCGTTTCGCAGCAGAAAATGAACATGGCTCGGCGATTCCCAAAACGCGGCCCCGGAGCCGCGTTCGCTCAAACGCGAACGCGCGATACGGCATCGCGGAAACAAACAGGCCCTAAGACAAAAGCTGCTTTTGACTAAAGCAGCCGTGGCTTTTGGGTCTTTGGTTGGCTTCTAACTGTTAAAAAACCAAAAGCAGGTTGAAAAGCCCAACCAAACCTTACATTCATGAAATGAGCTCTTCCATTTGTCGGAGTTTCGGAACCGGGGGTCCTTAACCGACTAGTGAATTTGTGCTGCGTGCTCCCAATTCCGGATGGAGATGCAAAGAGACACAAGGTTTATACTGGTTCGGGCAATGGATGCCCTACGTCCAGTCTGAGAAGGTGTTCTTGTATTCCTTGCACCGAGGTGCTCGTAGTAGGGGGTTACAAGCTAGGCGAGAGAGGGAGTTCGTCCCAGATCTCTGTGAGGGGAGGTAATATCAAATTACAGAACGAGGCGTGTTGTTCGTGCGAGTGTTCGTGACTCTATCTGCCGTCCTGGAAACGGTCCTGGCTGCCTCCTTTTATAGCCGCAGGGAGGAAACCAGGAGTACCTAAGAGAGCTACACGTGGAGCAAAGACTATTCGATGACGTATTTACTCCTGGAGCAGCATGGCGTTGTCGTGGGAGTTCCCGTAGATGTCTAATCGGTATGGTCTCCACTGCAAGTAACATGTTGCTCATTTATTGACTTGGTGGATTGCAGAGGCTCGGCGGCCTTCGTAGCCGGTCGTGCCGAGGCCTGTCGTGCCGAGGCCTGCCGTGCCGAGGCCTGAGAAGTGACCCAGGTGCAGATGCGGGTCTCAGCAGCCATCAGGCAGAATAGTGCGAGACGTGCGCCTACAGGATACGGTACCTATGTTGTCAGTAGGGATGGTAAAAAAGGTGATTTGACCGTTGTCCCGTCGCTCCTGTTGCAGCGCACTGCCGATCGTGGCTTACGTTGTGGGTGCGGCTGAGCGCATTAATCGGATGTGACAGCCTGCCAGAGAGGCTTTTGAGGCGGAGGCGACGAGGTTGTGGGACGAGCCCGGCCTCGGGCGAGACGGAGCGCGGCCGATTCGTCCGAGGCCCTTCCGAGGGGGTCTCGGGCGGGACGGACGGGCGAGGCGTAGTAAGATCGGTGAATCCGAGGCCCTGTCGAGGGGGCTCGGGCGAGACGGAGTGGTCGGTCCGCTGATTCCGAGGCTACAGGAACCCGTTCTGACTCCCCACGTTGCGATGTCCTTGGTGCAGGAGTTAGGCAGCACAGTGGTCGGTAACCCCTGCTCTGTGCCGTCTCAGATGGCAGGGGGTTGACGCGACCGGCGTGTAGCCGGTCACTTCGCCGTTCTGTGCCATCGTGCGTCTGTCGGAGTGGTTGGGCGCCTGGATGTGATGTTCGGTCAGAGCAGTTTGGTCAAAAAGGCGGTCACGGGGTTGGTGCCGAGCCGGCCTCGCGCGAATCGGAGAATCGGCACTTCTTCCGAGGCCCCGGGCGAGGGGGTCTCAACGAGGGGGCCTCGGCGAGGCGGTCTCGGGCGAATCGGAGAGTCGTTTGCTTTCGCTGGGGCTCGGCGACGGGGTCTCGGGCGAATCGGAGATTTCGGCCGAGACCTCGTTTGTTCATTCCGTTGGTTCTGTTTTTAGGGTCTAAGCAGTTCTTCGATCTTTGCTTGGGTACCCTATTTTCTGGTATCCGACACCATTCTTACACGAAGGATTATTGTGATGCTTTGAACTCTTTGATCCACTCGGTGCCTCGATATGTAAAACGTAAATCGTATGCTACCGTGCTAGTAGCTCCATGTGTTCTGGTCCTTTTAAGGCTCATTTGGATCACATGAATTTTACATGAATTATATAGGAATTTCACCGGAATCTATCCATTTTTCACGAGAAAAATGTAGGAACGGAAAAAAAAAATTGGATTCCAGAGGGGCTAACTTTGGTGGTTAATTTAGGGCGGGCGGCACATGAACTTTTGCAGCCATTGCTGGCCAGTTTGAAGCAGGATCCCCCACGTGTGACGGATCTGAGACTGACAGGCCAACTATCGCTTTTGGGTCTGGTTTAGACTGCAAATTTTTGCAATGCAGATATTGTAGCACGTTTCGTTTGTATTTGACAAACTTTGTCCGATCATGGACTAACTAGGCTCAAAAGATTCGTCTCGTGATTTACAACCAAACTGTGCAATTAATTATTTTTTTTACCTACATTTAATACTTCATGCATGTGTCCAAAAATTGATGTGATGGAGAGAGAGTGAAAAAACTTAGAATTTTGATGGGATCTAAACAAGGCCCAAAAAAAAGACTGAAATTAATGTCGGTTCTTTAGCAGGCAAACACGGCTGGTGGTTCAGGACGGACGGCTTCTCATTGGAAGACAAAGATTTCATCGTTTGCTAGCTCGCTTCTCGTGCTAGATAAACTACCACCATATCCCTACTCGCAAGCGCATTTTTCATGGAGTTTTCATGCGGGGATTGGAAAGCTTTACCAACCGACCACTATGACAATAGTATAGTATTAGTACCCCGGCGCGTGCTGTGCATTCCTCGGCCAAACTGAAAGCGTCCGCTGTAGACGACGATCCTGATCCGAACCTGATGTACATCTGCCCCTTTTTTCAAGAATCTCCAGTTTGTTTGTTTTTTTTTATCTGTGCCTGATGAACTCACATTCTGTGCGACGCGGTTTTGGCAATTGCATTGGCAATTCGGCACGCGGTGCCTCCATGCGTTAACCGCCGTACCGACAAGCAGGAGTTGGAGACTGTCCAGTGTGTCTGTGTCTCGTTACGTGCTGGTCTGATCCTGACCCTGACCCTGAACTCCGATCCTGAAGGACGTACGTGAGCTGTCGGTCGATGAGCAAGTATGGGGTTTTGGTGATTTGCGGAGGTATGAACGGAAACTAAATGGATCTTACTCCGTAACTTCCAGTACAATTACAACGTGGGCTTCACTTCTACTCGGCGCTCCTTGCGTCGCTACTTCGCATGCATGAAAGCCCGGGTCTTCGTGCTAGTATAAAATGCTGGCCCACGCACAGCATTTGTGATCATTTTCAAGAGCGGATAGCGCAACCCAAACTCACAATCACACAGACGTAAAGAACCACCCAACTAGCAGCTGTAATTGCCCACGAAGATGGCACACGCCGTGCACGCGATAGTGCCGCCGATCCTCGTCATGCTCCTCCTCTTCCAGGCCGTCGACTCCTCAAGGCCGTTGTCCACGGAGGAACGACAGCGACCAAGGGCTGATCCCACGGCCCCTGCTGCTGTCGTCCACCATGCCGAGCCGCACCACCACCGCGACGCCGCCGAAACCGTAAATGGACACGTGGCAGTGGAGACGACGGTGGAGGACGACGGAAGCAAGACTGCTACCCATGCCGAGGAAGGTGGCGCCGCCGCGGCATTGTCGGCAACGACGACGACATCCGCGCGCGGCAAGCAACTGCAGGGTGATGGCGTTGGGTCGAGGAACGCCGGGAGGCCGGCGGCGGCGGTGCAGGTGCTGCTGCGTTCCAGGTTGGCGCGGCGGTTTCTGGCAGCAGGGGTGGTGGAGGGCGCGGACTCGGCTGCCAGGCCGTCGTGCGGCTCCGGCGACGTGCACAACGGCTGTACCCCGAAGCCGGAGCACTGATATGATAAAAAAAAAATCACTGATCGAGCTGGACTTGGATGCATGTCAATTGTCAAACACGGGCAGTCGGTTTGTTGCACAAATTTCATTCGTTTTTTTTTTCGCGCATGGTCCTTAGATTATTTGGTTCCAGTTACTGCTATGCTATACCAGCAAATTGGAAGAGCCGAGAGGAGCCATGAATGTTCAAAGTTTCTATTCTGGTTGAGCCTTTTAGGACGTACGGTGTAGCCAATGGCCATCCATTACAAATAATCATATAGAGGTGGTACATTGCATGAGAAAAGATGAAGAAATCACATACTGCTCCTGATGACCTGATCTGATAATGAAAAGATTTATATGTTTGCGTGCAACCTGAATAATGCAGTGTTGGCAATTGTTTTATAGTTAAACAAAGTGACGCGAACACACCGGCACCGCCATCTTTTCTTTACACAGGAAATCGAGCTACATTTTATTGGATAATTAAGATAGAAATTTTACAACCTCGCTGAAGCAAATTACAACTTGAGTGACCACAGCTCAAGCACACTTGACAGTTTGACACTGCAACTAGCCTAGGCACTAGGCAGCAATCCCAAACACGTACCACTCCCGACTGCAGAGGAAGCAATGGTTCCATCGGGCGTCGCTCCACGCAAGCAGAGCGCTTTTTGGTGTGGGCCCGCGTGCATGTCAGTGGACCGCACGCACTTTTCAATTTTTCATGTGTAGCTCCGGCTCCGGCTCAACTCAACATGCTCGATCCTTGGTATAGTTGGCCAATGGTCCGGCCCGGACCCGGGCCAAGCATGGCCCGCAGGGGGTCGGGCCGGCACGGCACGCCGTGCCTCCCGTGTCGTGCCCCTCCAGGTCTCGTGTCTGGCCTTCGGCCCAAGCACGGCCTTACGGGCCAAAATCCGTGCCATGCCGGCCTGGTAAGCACGACCAAATCTGCGGGCCGTGCCAGCCCGTAACCGCTCAGTGCCATTAAAACACCTCAAACTGCTTCTCTCATCCAACACTTCTTCATTTTCATAATCACATTTCACAGTTCATTCACATTTCAGTATTCAGATTCACAAGTCACACATTCACCGTCACATATTCTCAATTCTAACAAAAGCTACCCAAGGAGGCAAGAGAATTAAAATAACTGAGTTGTTTGTGCAATGCTGCCTCATTAAAAATATTTCTAGGTAAAACTCACCCTTGTGAGAAACCCTACAAAGAGAAAAAAAGTGTAACATAACTCTTAATAAGTCTTCCATCACTGTTTCAAAGATCCCAAGTCACACAATCACAGTCACATATGACAGATATAAAATGGAGCTAACAGATTAACAGAGCACTCTCTCCTCTCTCAACACTAATTACCAGCAAGCCCTAAATGTATCAGCCCTAGATGAACCAGCCCCAGCCCCAAATGAACCAGCAGTACCAGCAGCCTCATTTGCATTTTCATCGAGGTACAGATTCTTGAAGGAGTCCTTCTGCTCTTGGTTGTCAACAGCATGTTGTAATCTGCTTTCTTCCAACTCCCAATCCTTTATGTAGGCCAGCATCTCCACAGTTTTAGGCAAGAGGCGTCGTCGCCGCTCTTCAATTATCCTTCCTGTCAAGCTGAAACATGATTCCGAAGAGACAATAGAAACAGAAACAGACATAATATTTCTAGCCATCATAGATAGGATTGGATATGTTAGTTTGTGGTCACGCCACCAGAAAAGTAAATCAAAATCATCCTCATATGCAGTCACATTGTCACTGTCCAGATAAACTGAGAGCTCATTACCAGTAGAAACAGATGAAGATAAAGTGGGGGCACAGGCAGGGAAAGGACCAACAACAGATCCAGGGCCTCCAAAGATTCTTTCACATGCCTGTTTTCTCTTACCTGTATGGATTGCAGGCTGTGCAACCCTTTGACTCTTAGCTACACCAAACTTTCTCTCATATTTGTTAAATAACTTATAAATTTCAGTTTTTACATCAGCATAATATGGAGTATAATAACAACCAGTGCTCTCTTTAAGTAATTTCAGAACTCTAAATAAACCTCTCATCTTAGTTTTAGGATCGAGAATGAATACAAATGAATATAACAGAGGTATATGCTGCCAGTATTTAAGAAATTTAAGCTTCATAAGATATACAACAACAATTAGATTTTGATCTTTTTCACTTGCATGTAAATGAGAAGCAATTTATATCAGATGATGCAGGATAAGTGGATTAGTTGGATAGTAAACACCAGAAAGAATAACAGTGGAGTCATAAAATAGTTCTAGAAACTCCAATATATTTTCAGCTATATACCAATGTCTTGCAGACAACCATTCAGAGCCACAATTGGAATTAATGAACACAGAAAAAATATGCTTATATGGAACCAAGTGTTTAAGCATAAGATATGTACCATTCTATCTAACATCCATATCTAAGCCAAACTTTCTAGGTTTAACATCCCTGAGCGGTACAGTAGTTCTTAAACATAACAATTATTTAATTAGAGGAATTTTAGAAGTTAATAGCAGTTCTAAAATCTTCTGTGTAAGGTTTGAACCTCTTTAAACCAGATTTTATAATCAGATTAATGATATGACAAGCACAACATTGATGCACAAGACTATACTTACGCTTAGAAGGATCAACAGGCTCAGGTGTAGGATTAGGACCCAAATAACCAGCAAACATAGGTGTCAAAATTTTCATAGACTTAATATTAGAAGAAGCATTGTCTAGAGCTACAGAGAAAACCTTATCAATGAGACAAAACTTCTCAACCACACGAGCAACTCTTTCCACAGTACTTTCCACAGTACTTTCACCGGTATATTTCATCTGAATCAACGTGAAGTTACCTGCAAGTAGTACAAGTTGTCTAAACGGACGGCATTTCTGATTTTGTAAGGACGCCCCGGAGCCGTTTTGTCGGGCGACGTCGCCACGAGCAGGGGACAAACGATGCCTGAAAGTCTGTACAGGAAACTGCACGGTCGGCCATCCCCACACTCACCAGTTTTTTTACGACTTCCCTGCTCAGTCTTGTTTAGTTCCACCTTAATTTCTAAAAAGTTGCTATAGTATCTGTCACATCGAATGTTTACGGTTCGTACATGGAGCATTAAATGTAGACGAAAAGAAAAACTAATTACATAGTTTGGTGGAAAATTACGAGACGAACGTTTTGAGCCTAATTAGTCCATATTTGAATACTATTTGTCAAATAAAAACGAATATACTACAGTAGCTTCAAAATCCAAATTTCTCCAACTAAACAAGGGCTCACTCAGTGGTCAGTGCTAGGCGGCTAGGCGCTAGCAACTGGAAGGCCAGGCCTCGGTGTTCCGGTCTCGGTCACCACCACCTCCCTCGTCTTCTTCTCTGCCAAGACACCGCCCAGTGACACTTGCGGCTGCCCATGCATGCAGCGTAGGAGTATAGTCTCAGGGCGGCAGTCAAACAATGCAGCGCATGCCTTGCTTCGTTGAAATTCACAAGCGAATCTGCATCTTTCTGCAGTGGAGTTGGTAAGCACGAAGATTTCATCTGTCAGGTCCTTGGGCCTTGTTTAGATCCCATCAAAATTCTAAGTTTTTTCACTTTCTCTCCATCACATTAATTTTTAGACACATGCATGAAACATTAAATGTAGGTAAAAAAATAATTAATTGCACAGTTGTAAATCGAATCTTTTGCTAGTTAGTTGCGATCGGACAAAGTTTGTCTGCGCATGTTCGGATTGCAAAATTTGCAATGGACTATGCGATGCCTGCGCATGTTCGGATTTGTTTGGACTCAGTGAAGCACATCAGACATGGGACATATTTTTTCTATTTGATTAAGATTCCTATTCACTCAAAATTGGAGAGATCTAATTAGATAAGGATTCATAGTTATATAAAGAAAAGGGATATAGACGGTTTTCCACAAAGTTAGTTAAGAGATGGTCGGACCAAAAAAATAAGTGGAGAGAAATTTTACCTCTTTATTATTATGTATAGATATAGATATAGATATAGATATAGATCTATTTATTATTACTCCTACTTCGCCTATGTATCTATACATAGAAGATACGTGTTTCAGTCTCTCCCTCCCTCCATTTGACTTTCAAAATTGTATACCTTTTTTTTACGATTAAACAGTACAACACTCACAACACACGTATACTCACCCCTATAAACGACTCCATTCCAAATTGTAAGTCTGTTTTGATTTTTCATATATCTAGATATAAAATAAGAACTATAAATCTAGAAAAGCAAAGTCGCATTTGACACAACTTAATTTTTTTAGAACTCTACGACAACTCTACTGGTGAAGCTAAAGCTATTCTGGTGATCTGTTTGGCAAAATAGCTTCTTATGGTAGATAGAACGAATAAAATAACCATAATGCCCTCTTTTCCCCTCCTCTCCTATTTCTTCTTCTTCCTCCTTATTCGCTTGGGTGTTATTTTTAGCTTCATCCCACTTCAATCCTATATGAGAGTAGATTTCCAGAAGCTTCACCTGTCATATGTGAAGCTGTTTGCAAAAGATCTCTGTTTGACATAAAACACAACTCTATACAGCTCATAAAGCTGGATAAAGAAGCTGTGCCACACAAGTCCAAGTCTTATAATTTGAAACTGAGGGAGCATGTGCAAAAGAGATAAATATATAGTTACTAATATTGATTATTCAGTGAAAAGTTTTGCATGCAACACTACATCCTCCAACAATAGAGCTTGCTTGTTTCTACGCCAAAGGATGCCACTCTCTGCTGTGGCGCCACAGTTGAGGTGGAGAAAATGACCGCCACAGATGTGGCCAAAAATCACATGGCGAAAAATCACATTGCAAATGAACTGAGACTCTTGTGGCTCGCCGCACTTTAGGCAGAAACTAAACACATCCGTCCATGCGGCTTGACTGCGTGAGCGGCATAGGCCGGCATGCATGCCACGACGGCAAAGTCAACTCATACCGTCAGTACTCACGTGGAGCTAGCACCACGTGTCGTCAACCGTGTTGACAGAAGCACCAGTCAAACAAACCGAAGCGCACCCTGAAGAAAGCGTCCCACGCGTGCGGACCAGCGAAGCAAGTCGCTCGTGTGCCGATCGCTGACATTGTGCGCGCGCCTTCGAATAATAGCCAGCCAGCCCACGCGCAGATGCAGGTCGATCTCGACCGAGATATTGGGACGCGTACTATATCCCTCCATTTGTCTAACTTGGCGTTTCACGCTCAGACACTCTCACTGCAGAGGAAAGGAATCCATCCGCACATACGAAATTCAGGCTCCAGTTCACGCGTCCATGCACCAGCACCACCACTCGGCGCTGGCATTACGAAAAACGTTGCCACGCGGTGTATGGTGCGCACGCGCGTCCGTACATTACCACCGCCGGTGAGAAGCATGCGTGAAATTACCTGCAAGTAGTACAAGTTGTAAACGGACGGCAACTGATTTTGTAAGGACGACCCGGAGCCGTTTTGTCGGGCGACGTCGCCACGAGCAGGGGACAAACGATGCCTCAAAGTCTGTACAGGAAACTGCACGGTCGGCCATCCCCACACTCACCAGTTTTTTTACAACTTCCCTGCTCACTCAGTGGTCAGTGCTAGGCGGCTAGGCGCTAGCAACTGGAAGGCCAGGCCTTGGTGTTCCGGTCTCGGTCACCACCACCTCCCTCGTCTTCTTCTCTGCCAAGGCACCGCCCAGTGACACTTGCGGCTGCCCATGCATGCAGCGTAGGAGTATAGTCTCAGGGCGACAGTCAAACAATGCAGCGCATGCCTTGCTTCGTTGAAATTCAAAAGCGAATCTGCATCTTTCTGCAGTGGAGTTGGTAAGCAGAAGATTTCACCTAACCGGCCGAGAAAGACACTTGAAACGCGCATCTTGATCTGTCAAATTTGGCGTTCTTACGTCTCAGTCTCACTGCAAGAATTTAACGCCTTGTGGACGAAATTCGCCGATCTCCACGACATGCAGGATGTCGCATTCGCCGTGCGCCCGCGCGCGTGCGGTGTGCAGTACTTACATAAACCGCCGACAAAGAAGCGCACGTGAAATTGCCTGCAAGTACTAATAACATCATAGTCTACCATTTCTGATTCTATAATATAATGGCGACTGTGAGACCTGTTGCCTGTTGGTGGGCGGCGCTAGCGATAGCGATACGGACGGCGAAGGCAGCGTCCACGTGCATGTGATGTGTTCGTAGTTTCCATTCGAGCACATTTCGGCGCGTCCACTTGCAATGCCTCCCCGCGTTGCAAATTGCAGTATGAACTTCGCGAGTTCGCATGCACATGCAGTCGCGTGCCTCCCAGTGTCCCTGTAAAAAAAACGCATGTTATTACACTTCACCTATCTCGATCTCTTCAACAGCTCGAGCTGCCAGGTGAATAAGCTTTATCACGCACAGAACAGAGCAGAGCAGAGCAGCGCACGCAAGATGGCACGCCGCCCCGTACACGGACTGCTTCGCCCACTGCTCCTCGCCGTCTGCTGCCTCCTCCTACTTCAGGTCTCCGAGTGCTCTAGACCACCATCGCCATCGCCGGCGGACGATCACCTCGACGACGCGCTGCACCACCAGCTGCTGCTGCTCGATGCCGAGGTGGCCCGCACCGCCCGGCCGCCCACCTGCAGCACGGAGGTGGCGGGAGACGGGAGGACCGGCGCCGCCGCCGCCGCCGCCGCGGCACTCTCGTCCGCGCCGGCGACGACGACGCCAGGGCGGGCCGTGCCTGCCGTTGTCGCTTCTTCGCGGCCGCGGCAGACGAGCGACCGAGCGCTGGTGCGAGCGGGGATGCTGCTGCGCTCCAAGCTAGCGCGACGGTTTCTGGCAAGGGTAGGCGTGGTGGATGGGGCGTCGTGCCACTCCTACAGCCCGCACATAAACTGCCCACCGGCGGGAAAGCCCTAGCAACCAAGCCAGCTGCTGGCTGCGGCCTGCGGGTCTGCGAATCGCAAGCGCGCGATCCTTCGGTTGAAGCCGTCTCGACGATGCTGCACTACTATACAATTATTTCACTTCATATATGTTTAATTAATTTTGCTTATTATTATATGCACCGAAATAATTAGCCGTAGGCCAGCCGTTGGAAGAACAAGCACGTTCTAGTGTGTCCGGTAACCATTGTGGCACGCTAGAACAAGTAAGATGTAAATACATTAGAATTTCAACAATTGAGTACATGTACATGGATATGTGTATATAATGTGTAATAAAGCTTTAGAATTTCAACAACAACGGTAGCTGTTATGTGTGCACAACTTCAACTTCGTTTCGCATCCATTGCATCACGCGCGACACCAGTCAGCAGTCGATCGGCGCGACTACTAGCTAGCCACTAGCCAGTGTGCACCGCTGGACTTTTGACATTTCTTCTCCACAACTTTCTATTTTTGGTTACCTTATTTATGTACTCTCTGCAGTCACAAATACTTATTGACAAGTTCATTTTTTTTGCACGGTCTTAGGGGATAAAAGTCATGAAATCAAAAATACCAAAATGGGAATTCGCAAAATGGAGAAAATCATTGCAGTCATTATAGGAAAGTCTAGGGACTTAGAGCATATCCTATTTGAAGGAGGATGGAATTCAAATCAGGTAAGGGATCCTTCCTTCTATTGATTTGATCAAAATTCTTTTTTCTTTTCGTGTCTCTATGATTTTCGATGAATGAGCCTATGGTAATGCTTTTATCTCTATTTTGGGTCGGAATAGACCATCGAGTCTACTAATAAGGAAAATCAAACTATACTAAAGGAAACATAAGACATCCATCCTAAAATGGAAAAAAATACGTATATATTAGGGCTATACGGATTCGAACCATAGACCTTCTCGATAAAACAGATTAAACAGATTATTATCGAAATGATTCGAACTGTTTCAAAGACCCAACATGCATTTTTCTGCATTGGGCTCTTTCATCAACTGATGTAAAGATCAATTAATCCACCATAGTTTTTCTTTAGGGAAAGGTAATAAGATGTCTGATTGATTATTTGTCTTATGATCTATCTAGGAGCAATACCAAAGTGTTTCAAAGGAGGATTACCTTGACTTAGGTCTGTCTCCAGCCTAAATGAAATCAACCTAAGTGAAATGGAGTCTCTATCGTTCCGCTGCAAGAGTTTACTATGAGACTTCATACACCTTAAGTTCATAGAACGAAAAGAAGCTTTTTGGAGGCCCTTATCCTCATTACGCCTAGCATTGAGTGTGCTGGATATTTACCTTATCAACTAGCAAATCAATAGGGGTTCTATTTGATTAAGCGCCTGAATTGACACCTGAATCGGACTGAACCGACTGTTTGTCAGGCTACTGTTCTCCTATTCTTTCAAATCCATGAAGTAAGACATTGATTTGCATAAAGGTCAATTATGTTCATTGCATAATGAGTTCCCTTGAAAAGCATTGGCGCATGTGTAAGCGAATTGCTCTACCGAACTGAGCTATAGCCCTTGTCAGAGATATCTTAACATATAGATAATTTCTTGTCAAGATGAATATTCTCTAATGCTAGAGGATATCCCTTTGATCCGTTTACTATATAACATAAACATACCAATAATGGAGCGGTATTGCTTATAAAAAAGGATTCAATCTATAATAGATTCTTTGACAGGCTTTGGTCAAGCAACCGATAAAGATACATTTTTTTCACGGTTACTGCCTACATAACTAGTCTTCCTCTTTTCCAGGAAGAAAGTCTCAGACTATGTAGTTCTCTTTTGTTAGACCAGTTCCTTTCGGTGCTGAGTTCCTTACTGCCCCAAAACTGAAGTGGCTTCTTCACTCCAGCACAGAAGTATTATGGAAAAAGGGGGGCATCCATTAGGAAGTGGAAAGTGGCGGTTTCCACTTCCTGTTTTAGGTTCTTTTATTTTATAGTTTGAAGTTCTCCTTGAGTTTCTTTTATAGTAGGAAGTTCTCCAAAAGTATGAAAGGCTGGAGGGCTTTGTACCAACCATTCTAGTGTGGTTGGATTCTGCTCAACAGCCCAAGGACTTTCTGCATATCTTTTGTTCTTTCCACTGCTTGAAGTGATTGCGACAACTACGAAGAAACGACGAATCCCAACTACGGATATATAAGAACTGAAACTGCTCAGAGCATTCCATCTGGCGTAAGCATCTGGATAATCTGGAATGCGACGTGGCATACCCGAAAGCCCTAAGAAATGCATGGGAAAGAAGGTCATATTAACCCCGAAAAAAGTGATCCAAAAATGGATTTGGCCTAAAGTTTCGGGATATGTTCGACCAAAGATTTTACCCACCCAATAGTAAAATCCAGCAAATAAAGCAAAAACGGCTCCCATAGAAAGTACATAATGGAAATGTGCAACCACGTAATAAGTATACAGGGGTAAACAAAAAAGGCCCTGAGTCTCGGTCACCACTCACACCACCTCCCTCGTCTCTTCTCCGCCACGGCACCGCCCGGCCAGTGACACGTGCGGCTGTCCATGCATGCAGCGTAGTCTCGGGCAGCAGTCAAACAATGAAGCGCATTCCTTGCTTCGTTGAAATTCACAAGCGAATCTGCATCTTTCTGTGGAGTTGGTAAGCACCGAAGATTTCACCCAACCGACCGAGAAACATACTTGCATTGCAACGCGCATGCCGTGTACTAGTAGTGTATAATGTACGTCTCCATCTGTCAAACTTGGCGTACGTCACTAGTAGAGAAATGATCTTTCATCCGCTTTGATTTTGGGCTTTAGTCTCGTTATTTTTTTGCATCCGGGAGTAAAAGAATAATTAGTCCCGGTTGGAGCTACCAACAGGGACTAAAGGCCCCTGTCCTGGCACGCTTTCGCAGCAGGCCACCTTTAGACCCGGTTGGTGTTACCAACCCGGACTAAAGGTCCTTCAACCTTTAGTCCCGGTTGGTAAAGGGTGACCTTTTAGTCCCGGTTGGTGTCACCAACCCGGATTAAAGGTCTCCCATCCGGGACTAAAGGTACCCCACAGGTCAATTCAAAAGGAGAGTGTCCATGACCCTGTCACATATGGTGTACAGCTGAATTGGTAAGGAGTTTATGCGCGAGGAAAGAGGTCCTGGGTTCGAATCTCACACATCGCAAGAGAGGTCTCCCTACAATTTCGTTTATTTTTCTTTTGAGGATGGACCTTTAGTTCCGGTTATGTGACCCGGGACTAAAGCCCATGACCTTTAGTCCTAGATTCGTAGTCCCGGTTGAAAAACCAGGACTAAAGCCAGTTCTCAACCAGGATTACAGCCCATTCCTCTACGTGCGTCTCAATGCAAGAGACAAGAATAACGACTTCCAGGCGAGATTCACCGCTCTCCATGCGACCATACCATGCAGGATGTGCAGCACACACTCGCGCCCTACGAAAAGCCGGTCGCGTTCACCATGCGGTGTACGGAACTACACACGCGTCGTCCGCCCGTACATAAACCACCGGCAAGAAGCGCACGTGAAATTGCCTGCAAGTACATCGTAGTCTACGTACCCACCATTTCTGATTCTATGTATAACGGCGACTGAGAGAGACGTGTGTTAACTGGGTCTGGGCGCAATCGTCATCAGTGAGCTATCATCACTCACCGGCTCCAGCTTCTTTTTTTATCTCTGCGAAGGCACAGTCCACGTGTGATGTGTTTTTTATTTTCATTCGAGCCAGCACATTTCGGCGTGCCAAAGTTACGCTGCACTTGCCGCGCGTTGCGATATGAACTTCTCGCATTCAGTCGCCTCGATCGCTCGCCGCCTCTATAAAAACGCATGTAACAATTCATCGATCTCAATTCAAGAGCTCGAGCTGCCAGGTGAAGCTTCATCACGCACAGAACAGAGCAGAGCAGCGCAGCGCACGCAAGATGGCACGCCCCGTACACGGACTGCTTCACCCACTGCTCCTCGCCGTCTGCTGCTTCCTCCCACTTCAGGTCTCCGAGTGCTCTAGACCATCATCGTCATCGCCGGCGGATCACCTCCACCACCAGCTGCCGCTGCTGCTCGATGCCGAGGCCCGCACCGCTCGGCCGCCCACCTTCAGCACGGAGGTGGCGGGAGACGGGAGGACCGCCGCCGCCGCCGACGCGGCACCCTCGTCCGCGTCGGCGACGACGCCTGCGCGGGCCGTGGGTGCCGTCGCTTCTTCGCGGCCGCGGCAGACGAGCGACCGAGCGCTGGTGCGAGCGGGGAGGACACCAGAGGTGCTGCTGCTGCGCTCCAAGCTAGCGCGGCGGTTTCTGGCAGGGGCAGGCGACAGGCGTGTGGATGAGGCCGCCGCCAGCGCCGTGGACGGAGCCGCGGCGTCCTGTCATTCCAACAACCCGCATATAAAGTGCCCACCGGCGTGAAAGCCCTAGCAACCAAGCCGGCTGCTGGCTGCGAATCACAAGCGCGCGATCCTTTGGATGAAGACGTCTCGCCAATGCTGCACTACTTACAATTATTTCATTTCATTTCATATATGTTTATTAATTTTGCTTATGCACCGAAATAATTAGCCGTAGGCAGCCGTTGGAAGGACAAGCACGTTCTAGACTTCTAGCTAGTGTGTCCGGTAACCATTGGGGCATGCTAAGAAAGTAGTAAGATAAGATGTAAATATATTAGGATTTGAACAATTGAGTACATGGATATATGTGTATAGTGTACTCAATTGTATAACGTGTGAGAAAGCTTAGAATTTCAACAACGCTATATAGCTGTTATGTGTGCACAACGACTTCAACTTTGTTTCTCAGGAACAGTATCCATTGCATCACGCGCGACACCAGTCGGCAGTCGGCACGACTAGCTAGCCACTAGCCAGTGTGCGCCGCTAAACTTTTGACATTTCTTCTCCACAACTTCCTGCTTTTAGAATTATCTATAATTTTGGTCAAACCCAAGATACTTTGACTCTTAAAAAATTAGAATGACTTATAATTTGGAATGAAGGGAGTGTAGATACTCTCTTCGCTATGGTGAGAAATACTTGACAAGTTCAAGTTTGCACAGTCTTATTAGGGGATATAGACATGTAGTCGATCCACGCAAAACGCCTCTATCTCCCATGTTCTAGTACTTCTACGCTCACAATGCACGCACACTCACCCTTATGAGCACATTCGAAGACTGAGCCGATAAATTCTCGAGATTGACGAAGTCACCACAAGCGCGTCGCTGTCGATGGGGACATCGTCTAACACTGAAAGAATAAAGCTGTTAAATTCTGAAAAATTCACTCCCACAGTGCTATTGAGACTCTTGTAAGCAGTAGGCTACAAAGCCTTTGGTATCCTAAGGTTTGCCTGGCAAAACCTTGTTAGCCGTTCCACTTCTGTGAACATGTTCTACAAGTTTCTTTTAAAATTTTGTTTATATAAATTATGTTCTACAAGTTTCTGCGTATGTTGTGTTTAATGAGCTTCCCCTATAACTGGACCTAAGGGAACTCCACGAAAATTTATCCTGAAAAAGTTTTCTCCGTGCTACCAAATATTTAACCACCACCGTCATTGACCTTGTACACTTGCTCATCAATCACCATCTAAAGATACTAAACTTATATCTTGGAGTAGTATACTCCCTCCATACTAAAAAAATAAAGTCGTTTTGGACAAAATTTAGGTTAAACATTGGGAATATAAATCATGAATAACTTTTAAGTTGTTGATTTTGGAAATGTGAAAACCATATGTATAGATTTGTTTTAAAAAATATTTTCACAAAAATTTACATATATCACTTTTTGATAAATATTTTTATAAAAATAAGCAGTCAAAGTTATACTTTGGAGACCATGTCGTTGTTCAAAATGACTTCATTTTTTTTAGTATGGAGGGAGTATATAGCAGTAGTAGATACAAAAAGACAACTCATGTACTAAATTACAATACGCATACCGCAAAGTCTTCTCTACCTGCATTAGATTAAAAAAGATAGCTCACATGCACACTTTACGGCCACGCGGTTGCCCGGTTTGAACCGTCACGTCATTTGCAAATAGGGTATATTCAGGGCGCGTTTAGATACAAATTTTTTTGTGTTTTGGCTACTGTAGTACTTTCGTTTGTATTTGGTAATTAGTATCTAATTATGGACTAATTAGGTTCGAAAGTTTCGTCTCATAATTTCTCACTCAACTGTGTAATTAGTTTTTTTTCGTCTATATTTAGTACTCCATATATATACCGTAAGATTCGATGTGATAGGTACTATGTAAAAATTTTGGAAACTAAACCGTCACAGTGCGAATCTTCTGACCGTCACATCAGATGATTCTTGATACACTGAAGTACTCCGTGGACTGTGGTTCAGGACAATTTCCCAGATGTCGTAGGAGTAGGGTACGGGTGTGTTTATTTGGGTATGAAAATTTGTGTCACATCGTGTTGGAGGATGTTGGGAGAGGTTTTTGATACTAATAAAAAAATAAATTACAGAATTCATCGAGAAACTACGAGACGAATCTAATGATACTAATTAATCGGTCATTAGCACATATGGGCTACTGTAGCACTTAAGGTTTTTCATGGATTAATTAGGCTTAAAAGATTTGTCTTGCGATTTTGCTGAGAACTGTGCAATTAATTTTTTTCATCTACATTTAGTACTCTATACATGTGTCCAAACATGCTCTTTTACTTTAGGAGAAAAAAAAATTGGAAACTAAACCGGACCTATATTCAAGTGCGAATCTTCTGACTGAGGCCACGCACGAAAAGTTCACCAACCCACCGACATTGCGCCGCCTATCAGTTTCATCTCACCCCCAGTCAAACGAAATGTCTCTGCAAATTCGCTCTCGCTCTAGTTCCAGTTCGCTTTGGTCGTAAGTTTCGATGGAAATGCACTTCCGTGCAGCGCTGGCTAGCTCGCACGGCGCGACAGACGTAGCAATATACCAGTGAGAGCGGGAGTCAATGTTTAGAGGAGCCAGAGCCCTGCAAACAGGTCCATAGCACAAGCGTGGGTGTCTTCAACTTTTGTCTGGTTCTGAAAGCGTGTGATTGGGTCATGAGTAGAAATTTCACCAGGTTTTGTAGCAACTCCATAGACCCAAATTATATGTCGTTTTTTGGTTTTCGTGATGCACAAGTTTAACTCGATTTGTAAAAAAATGTATGCAATATTTGTATCTCTAAATAAAATTTATTAAAAAACTAGATTCAAAGATCTTTCCAATAATACCAATTATGTACCATAAATATTAATATTTTTTAATATATATTTTATTAAAGTTGTTTCTCGGAAAGCGAAAACGACAGATATTTTGGAACGGATGGAGCAGTTACCTTGTGCATGAAGCCATGAAGGAACACCCTCTAACTTTGGTACTTACCCACGCGTTGCTCTCTTAACCTTCGACGCAAGTCGCACGGCTCTCCGGTCTAGTCAGCTAGCCACGCACTAGTATAAAATGCACACGCCCCCATCGGCCAATGTGTGTGCATGCAGTGCATGATTTTTCTCTTATGCATATTAAGATCGAGCTCAGTTTAACGACTCTCCACTCTCCAGTAGTCATCGTCGCAGTGGCACGGAGGCAAGCCGCGCACAACGACACACGGCACACGTCCACGGTCCACAAGATGATGAAGCTGTCACGCCCCGTGCACGCGACGATGCTGATGCTGCTCCTGCTGCTCGCTTGCCACCGTTTCCAGCTCTCCGACTGCGCCAAACCATCGTCTCCGCGGGAGAAAGCCGCGGTGTTACCCTCTGCTCACCGCCATGACGCCGAGGACGACGCGCACCTGCCCAGCATGGAGACGACGGTCGGAGACGTCGTCGGGAGCTCGAGGACGACCAACGATGCTGCTGGCCTCGCGGCACCGTCGTCGGACGCGACACCTGTGCAGGGCCTAGGTGTGCAGGGCAAGGAGGAGGAAGGCGTTGGGTCGGGGCCGTGGCAGCAGCAGAGGACCGGAGCTATCCGGACTGCGCTGCTGCTGCGCTCGAGGTTGCCGAGGCGGTTTCTTGCAGCTGCATCAGGAGTGGAATCAGGCACGGACGGAGCCGGGCTGTCGTGCCACTCGCACGATGTGCACGTAAACTGCCCGCCACCGTCGAAGCGTTAGCAAGCATGTGTTTGGTTTAGGGACGGGATACGGCTATTTATGAATTTCGAGATATGGATATCTACGTTGTCTGTTTGATTGGATGGATGAAATTATATGTGATGAGAATATTTGACTAATTATATATATTATTTAAAAATAATAATAACTAATTATACCCTAATAAATATGCACGGACACTAATCTTGTCATTATAATCACTACTTAAAAAATATATGTTAATTAGCATTATACTACTCTAATTATCACATGAAACATGCGCTAATCAATATGTGGATATCCTCATCCGCTAGATTTTTGAGAGCCAGAATATCCAGCATCTACCCAGAATATTTCCTGTTGTGGATATCTAGATTCAGCTTATCCATCCAACCAAACACCATGTATCTATGGATATCCATGTCCCATCCATAGATATCCGTGAAATCAAACACACCCTAACAGGGCAGCTCGAGTGCGTGGTTCCCATCTTTTCTTTTGGGCCTTTGTCTGCAACTATTCGGTATGGTGTGCGTCGACTGTTCGACCTCTCCAGAAAAGAAATGGTTCGGTAGTCCAGCAATCGGGTTGACAACTTCCTTTGGCGCAGTGCCAAGATATGTATATCCACTGCAATTGTAAATATATATACAAAAAAAAGTATGCCAAAGATATTGATATGTTCAATAATGTGCGGAAAGTTTCACGACGAAGGAAAAATCAGACTAATATAGAACACTTAAGTGTGAGTGTGTGTCCGTGTGACATAGTCTCAAATCTATACCATGCATATGAATCATTGCTAACTGAAGACTACTCATTCTGTTCCAAATTATAAGTCATTCTAACTTTTTTAAATATACTCTAAATATCATTATTTAAATTATGAAAATATACTCTAAATATAATATACTATCCTATAAATCTTATTTAGATTACATACCTCTAACATCATAAAAAGTCTCGGATAATTCCTTTATCTACGGGCCCTATCAGGTGGAATTCAGCCCATTCACATTAGCCAGTTACTCCTTCATTGAATTTTCACTTGACTGGGACGGCAAACCATCCTTCAAGCATTAGGCACCTTTTTTACCTTGCTCAGTGTGTAGGAACGTAGGAAGATACGTTTCACTTTTCCCATCGGAATTTGAACTCTGGCTGGTTCAGGTTACAAGGAAATAAGAAGTATGGTAGGATGAATGAAGGCAGAAATACAGGACATATGCTTTATCGCAGAACATATATTTGTTTTCTATTCAACAAGAAGGACAAGAAAAAGATAATGGAACCGGGCCCGTTCGTTTGAACTTATCAGTCGGCTTATCAGCTAAAATCTACAGTATTTTCCTCTCACAACAAAATAGCTTCAGCCGGCTTATCAGCCGGCTTTAATACCAGCCGAACAGGCCAGTCGTGGCACTATTGGAAAATGAAGCTCTCTCAGTTCAAACATATGACTATATTATGGAAGTTTTGAAGCAAGATGTCTTTCATCCTAATTCGCATTTTAGGCCTATTCCACTTGACTCACGACTGCTCAGAAACTAGTTCGTAGATTTCGCTTCAACAACTCGATCTTTTAAGTCGCTACTCTCACACGGAATCCCAAGTTCGGGGCCTTCGTTCTTGTGAAGACATATCACTTTAGTCACTTTAGCTATTAAACTGTCAAATAAACTGACTAAAAGGAGTAGCTAAAAGTGGGCTAAAGTGCCCAGCAGACAAAGGCTGCCCCTCATTATTGCTGGTCCTCCACCCTGATTTGAGCATTTATTATGGGTAGTTTGTTCTTTGTTGAACTGCTTTAATGACATTTAGTCACTTTTAATCACTATAACCAAATAGGGGTGACTAAAGTTTAGCCATTGATTTTAGTAGCTAAATTTTAGTCATGAAAACCAAATAGGGCCGATGCCTAGCGCCTACTAGCACTGAGTAGGGCTAGACAAAATAATCGTAGCTCGCCGACTCGCTCGACTCGTGGCCGGTTCAGCTCTGCTCGACTCGGCTCGTTTTAACTTTTTCACGAGTTGACCTGGAAGTCTAGCTCGCTATTTTAACGAGCCAGCTCGTGAGCTGAAACGAGCTGAGGTCTATCAGCCCACAACCATGAATACAGAAGATGATGATGTTGACCTAGAAGTGTACATCTATTCTATTAGTATGTAATCATTATTTTCAGCTGTTTCATATAAATTTTAATTTTATAATTGTTGTGGTACTTAAATATTGATTTTATGGATTGTTTTCCAGAGAGAAGATGATAATGCTGACATTGAATCTGTGGATTTTCCTAAGTTTGTGGTGGCAAGCAATTAGTTAGTATGCTAGAACTGCATAATCATGGTGGATGGACCAGTTATGTTGCATGGTTGATATTTTTTATGAACCTGATATATATTAATCATGTATGGTTGCATAATGGTGAACATCACCTCCTGAAATTAATGTAGCATAAACATTATAAACATGTGTGTCTTATTTTTTTTATAGCTCGCGAGCTAAATAAGCCAGCTCAAGCTCGGTAACGAGCCAAGTTTGACTAAATATATACAAAGAAGCACTAATACTTATAATATGTAAGAAATATTACTAGATTAGTTATGAAATAGATTTTCATGATAAATTTATTTGTGTGAATACTGGTTTTTTATAAACTTAGTTAAATTTAAAATTGTTAGATTTGTCTGATATTTTTATATTTTTTAGGAATAGAGGGAGCAATGACCAAGCTAACTTCTTGCATGTTGACTCTTTAGGTCTCTTTTGGAAGCTAGGGAGAGCAAAACCTAGGGATGGAAAACCTCCATTAAAACTAGAATGATAATTAGAATGATATTCTCATGAATTACTCATCTAAGGAAAAATCCAGGATCCTGAGAGATTAGAGTTTTCAAATTAGGCCTTAAGGTTCTGATCTTCTCAATCACTACTGCATTGTACGGTCATGCCGCACGCCACCTTGGGTTTCCTTTCAATCTTCATAAAAGTTCATTTCGTCCGACAATGTGGTTGTTTTGCATCGCGCCATCGCGGAGACGAGATGGCAGATTTCCATACGAGCTGGAACGTGGACCGCCCGGCACACGGGCGACACAGCAAGCCAACGGCCGACACGTCTCCACGGTCCACATCACGGCCACGCCCCCGACTCCAGAACCGACTCATCAACGAGGCTGCCGCAAAAAAAGCCCGAGCGGCCGCGTGAACCAAACCCAGACCATTTGAGCAAGTGCGTTTGAGGGCAGCAAGGGTAGTCCCAACGCGACGTCGATGGCCCTGTCCGCCCTAATCAGCACCCTCCTCGCCGCCGTCGTTTGGTGCGCCGCTTACCTCGCCGCCGCCATCTCCTCCGCCTTCTGATTCCCCGCTTCTCCACCCCCAACATCTCCTCTTGTAGCACGCCCCACCTCCAGCTCTTTTAGGTCCTACTACACTCGCAACCCCTCCGGCCGACTCGCTTCCATCCGCCGCCCTCGCGCCGCCATGGGATACGCGCAGCTCGTCATCGGCCCCGCTGGAAGCGGCAAGGTACCGGTCCCCTTCCACCCCGACTCCCGGACCTCTCCCCCTCGCGCTTACCTTTGGGAAACGGGATGCTTTGCTCGCCCGCTGGCGCTAGTCAGAGTTGGGAACGACTCAGTTCGATTAGGGTTCTGATGGTGTCCCCTCCGATATCATGTTTCTGTTCCTGCTTGTTTCGATCGGGTATACTTGGTTTCGTATTCGTAGTGACCTGGTAGGGTTTCTTGCCACACTGGGGGTTTAGGGTCTGATTAAGGAGGAGTTGATGATAGCTTGCTCTAATTGGTCACTTGTGTGTTTGCAGTCAACTTATTGCTCCAGTTTGTACGACCATTGCCAGACTGTGGGCAGGACAATTCATATTGTCAATCTCGATCCAGCTGCTGAGCACTTCGACTATCCTGTAGATATGGGTAATTTTTCTGCTTATGTGTTACAATGTAAAGCTCTTACCCACAGTAAAGTATTTTCTCACTTACTTTTTATTGCCTTGCATTTTGGCAGATATCAGAGAGCTGATTTCATTGGATGATGTTATGGAGGAGATTGGGCTGGGGCCAAATGGCGGTCTCATCTACTGCATGGAGTATCCTGTTATTTAAGCATTATTTTTGTTTATTTTATAGGCTGCCAAAGCTATTTAGTTGATTAGTTCTGAATGGCCGTGTTGCTGGTGCATTTTTACACTTATTGCTTGTTAATGGGTTGGAGATGCAAAACCAGGCTGTTAGGTGCTGAAACTGGATTTGTGTTACCTTTTATTTGCACTTGGTTGTTGCTCTGTGAGACTGATATTTTGAGTTTCAACATTTATTGCATATTTTTTTTAAGGCCACCGTTCATTTGTTTGACCATTAGACATAAGCCCTGTAGATTGTGGCCATGCAATCATTGGATGTTCACTGATATGACAGAGAATGTTGCAGGACGGATTGGCTAAAATCAAGAACTAATCTAGCTAACTTATGACAACGTAATTCATGATGATATTGTTCCTTATGTTCATGGAGTTTGTTTTGCTAGGATTTTATGCTTTCAATTTCTGTTTCCTTAACAAAACCTCAGGCACCTAGAAGACAACTTGGATGATTGGTTTGATGAACAGCTGGAGAACTACTTGGATGATGACTATCTTGTGTTTGATTGCCCTGGTATATTCTCAATTCATCTTTGCATGCTTTGATTGTTTCTTAATAGTTGCACGGTTTCATCTCACTTACTATTCTTACCACTTACATTAATGTGACAAAACAGGCAATCATCAGTCTTTTTTTACTGATTGTGCATTATACTTGTCCATCAATTATACACAAATACCATTTTGGGTTTACCTCTGGTTTGTTTAGCAATTCTAGTGTATATGTCTTTCTAATAACAATTCTATACATGAAAAACTACATATTTATATGGTCGACATCACATGTATCGGTTAATAATTTTCTGCATCTTGCTTTTCCAGGCCAGATTGAACTCTTCACACATGTTCCAGTTCT